TACTCCCTCCCTCCCTCCTCTCTCTCTCTCTCTGTCTTTCCTCCCTATCTCTCTCTCTCTCCGTGTCTTTCCTCCCTATCTCTCTCTCTCTCTCTCCGTGTCTTTCCTCCCTATCTCTCTCTCTCCGTGTCTTTCCTCCCTATCTCTCTCTCTCCGTGTCTTTCCTCCCATATCTCTCTCTCTATCTCTCTACGTCCCCCCCTCTCAGCCACACACACACCTATGCTCCTTCTCTCTTGCTACCTGTCAATGACACTCATTGTTCCTCCTTAGTGTGGAGCTTATGTCACACACTATTGCAAGCAATATATGTGAGACACTTCCTAAACTTTTCTTCCAGAACTGAAGGTTCCTGACTATCATTAGACAAACCAACAGCACTTTCCCCAGCCACTGCTGCCTCAACTTATCAGATATTAAGAAAGAGGAGAAAGGTGTAACAACCCCCCCCCCACCCCCCACACACACAGCATCACGGTCACATACAGGCATGAGAACAGTTTGAGATGTTTTTGAAGGAAATATTTCAATTCGTGCCGAGGGCACGATAACAGTGTGCGTAGTACACTCTGTCCTGCTAGGTGGGTCTGGGGGGTTGCCCCCTAGGAAATTTTTGAAATTTGGAAGGGCAGACAGGCCATTTCCATGCATTCTGGGGAAAATTGCAAGTCCATTCCATTCTTAGTTAAAGACTAATTTCGTGACTAACAATTCAAAGTCTTGTCACTTCCTATGAAAATTTCAATGTTTTATGTGGCGGTTAACTTAAAGCATGGCTTCATTTACATTACATAGATACACCGCGATATTTATCTGGCGTTCCGTTACTTCTGTGTGAAATTTGACGTACTTTTCCTGACCTTTTTATGAGGTTTAAATTAAAAATGGCGTCCATTTTGACAAAAAAGTACACCATACCCCCTAAACTTTTTATTAGTTTTTTTGCACCAATCTCAAGAATGACTAAAATGAAAACCAAAACCCGCGAATCCGCGGAAAGTTCTCATGCCTGCACAAAGCGACAACCCCTCACCTCTTCGTATTCGCCGTCTTTCTGCGGGCTTGTCGTCTGCCGCCCGGAATCGCCACCGCGCCCTTTCGGTTGCCGCGGCAATGCACGGCGACGTAGTCGAGACGAGATCCACGGACACCACGTGAGATGCTGCGAGAGCGGGTCGAAGCACTTCTTCTCGACCTCCTGCGAAGACGGAGCGAACGCGTGAAGCGCGAAGCCAACGCGTGACAGAGGGGTTGTCACGACGACAGACGAACGACATGATGCGCGATGACGAATAACCTCGTTGATAATTACGAGTAGATTAATTATGGTGACGAGGAGTAGCGGCGTTTGCAGCAGCGCCCCCTGTTAGGGAAACTCGGATTATTAAACATCGTCCCCAGGTGCGGAGACCACCGATAACGAGCAACAACGAATATCTACGTAATTATAAGTAATTATAGATATATTAATTATGATAACGAGGAGTAACGACATTCGCAGCAATTCCCCCGCATTAGGGAAATTCCAACTCCAGTCCGGAAAGCTTGCCGGCCGCACAAAGCTCAGCAGGGGAAGAGCAATAAGAGCGGGGTTCGACCTCCGGTCGTCGTGGCGACCGCGTCTCGCGACTCACCAGCCTCCGTCGCTTCACGGGGACGGGCGGCGCGTCGACGGAGGCTTCCGCCCGTCGCGTCCTCTCCCGCCTCCTCCTCCTCCTCCTCGTCGTGCGCGACATGCTGTAGAAGTTCCAGAGGACGGCGCGGCGGTTGCAGAACGTGCACGTCGCCAACCTTCATGCGGATATCCGGCGGCAGCAACCTGCGCGCGTGCACACGAGAGAGAACCAACGTATTATCAAGAGTAGATAATAACACATCGTGTTATGTTGTGTTGTGTTGTGTTGTGTTGTGTTGTGTTGTTATCATTAATTGTTTATGTTTGTGTTTACATTTGTGTTGTGTTGTGTTGTGTTGTTGTGTTGTGTGTGTGTTGTGTTGTGTTGTGTTGTGTTGTGTTGTGTTGTGTTGTGTTGTGTTATGTTATGCTATGCTATGCTATGCTATGTTATGCTATGTTATGCTATGTTATGTTATGTTATGTTATGTTATGTTATGTTATGTTACGTTATGTTATTTATGTTATGTTATGTTATGTTATGTTAACGTTATGTTATTTATATGTTATTGTAATGTAATGTTATGTTATGTTATGTTATGTTACGTTATGTTATGTTATGTGTCGCGTTATAACACACGATGCGTTATTATCTACTCTTGGTATTAGCCAGCGAGCCGAGCCGTGCAGCCGTGATTTGCACGGTCAGTTTTGAAACCTGCACGGCCAAAAATGTGTAGCACGGCCTAAAATATTGATCTAAAGCCGTGTACATTTGTAAAATTGCACTCCAAAATATTTTTTCGGCACTCCCACAATACTCATTCCTGGCTGGTAGCCTGGAGAGAACGGGACGCTGTCATTGTTACAGCCACTGCCGCGAGGCGTCGGGGAATCGTTCCCCTTTTAACGGTTCACGGACCGGTTTAGTTGTGGATGAGGCGTGGGGGTATTGTTCCTTCCTTCCTTCCAAAAGATGGTGTGTGCACGTGTGTGTGTGCACGTGTGTGTGTGTGTGTGTGTGTGTGTGTGTGTGTGTGTCGTGCGTGTGTGTGTTTGTTGTGTGTGTGTGTGCCTGTGCCTGCATTTGTGTGTGTGTGTGTGTGTGGTGTGTGTGTGTGTGTGTGTTGTGTGTGTGTGTGTGTGTGTGTGTGCCTGTGCCTGCATTTGTGTGTGTGTGTGTGTGTGTGTGTGTGGTGTGTGTGTGTGTGTGTGTGTGTGTGTGTGTGTGTGTGTGTGTGTGTGTGTGTGTGCACATAGATATATGTGCGTGCGTGCATGGCAGGAAAGAGTGAGAAGACCATTGGGGAAGTGTGGTGGACATCACAGATTGTTTCCATCGGTGGGATGTGGAAACACCTATGCCATCGCCATTAGACATACGGCCTAAACATGGGGGAATCGATCAATCCTTCTTCTAACCTGTGTGTGGAAGAGTAGGAAGATTGGGGTTTGGGGGAAGTGTGGCCATCATGGATTGTTCCGGTCCGTGTGGGTGATGGCCGAGGAGACAGGAGAATTCGGGAGCAGCCGGCAAACTACGCGGACACTGCACAGCCTGCTGTACAGTACACTTTCACTGCTGTATGAGAACAATTGTGTCTATTGAATTTCAATGGATTTCTTTTTTTTACGGATTGCTGTTGCCTGAAATTGCGACATTTTGTAAAGAAGTTACCTAGGAGCTTCGAGCAAACTAGAACCACCAGCAGCGTCACAATAATGAAGCAACACAACATTATCAGAGTACAGTTGTCCGTTATAATACGAGTAAGGTTCTCAGTTGTTAAGTTGTCCGTTATTATACGAGTAAGGTTATCAGTTGT